GAAAAGAGAAAAATAAGATAAAGGGAAAGAAGGAAAGAAGGAAAAAAAAAACAAGCAAAAAAAAATATGAAAATAAAGGTAAAGAGAAAGAGTGAAAAAAAGAGATAGAAAAAAGGAAAGATAGGAAAGTAAAGAGGTGAAAAAAACAGAATATTTAAAGAAAAAAAATAAAAATGTTAAAAAGCGAGAAAAACTAATAAAAAAAGAGAAAAATTAAAAACTAAGAAAAAACAAAAGGGCATAAAGAAAGTTACACATAAAGAGCGTAACAAATATCCTAGTGCATCAACCAGGAAATCACATATCCTAAGGTGAAACCTCAGGAAGGTAGCTTCACCCGGCCTTTCTCATGGAATAAGAACTCCCCCGATGATCTTCTTAATCTTAAATAATTAAGAAGAAGACTCCTTCAGGGTCACGAACCTAAACCCTCTGAGTAGCGCCATAGCGAATTAACCAGATAGTCAACAATAGGATACAAATATTTTTTTCGCAAATTAACACCTTAAAACCTATATCTGTGCAACATGATTTTTTAATAAAAGCATTAGATGAAGATCTATGCTGCCTGAAGATCTAAGCATACTCGGCCAATCAAAATTATCACGGGCTATCATTTTCACTTTCACGTGATAGTGTTTTGTGCACAAAAAAAATATTAAGTTGATGTTAGTGCTTACGATGGAGTTAGACATTAAGTAGGTTATATAGTAAAATTGTTCAAGGAAATTTTTTTGTTAGGGCACTAAAGGTTGCTTCTTATGCAAATGTTTGAGAAATAAACGATTCTTGAAAAAGCGAACGTTTTTTTTTTATCTTAAAGCGAGTCTCGCTATTTGATAGGCCACTGTAGATCCTCACGTGAAAGTGAAATTTTGACGGCGATACTGGGGTAGTTCTAGGGATGTTAAATTGCGAATCCGGTCCGGTCCGGTCCTAGGACCTGAAACAACGGTCCCAGACAAAAAACCGTTAGTTGATCGATCCCAGGACCGGGTCCTAAGCTGAATCCTCCAAACAAGTCCATCCAATCAGATTGATACTTTTATAAAAAAAACTAAAATCTTTATTTGATATTTCAATGTTCGTTCTTACAAAAATTTATACGAAAGAATTTTTATATAAAAAAATAAAATTATATAAAAAAAAAAAATTTTATATAAAACAAATTTATATAAGAAAAAAAATTATATAAAAAATTTTTTTATATAAAAAACTAAAAAAAAAAAAATTATTTATTTATTTAAACACTAACGTCACCTACCTCTTCGTTTAACACATCACTTAGTTCTTTATACCAGCTTTTTAAACACAAAGATGCTCGCGCAACTTCAGAACTTAAGCGATTTCTAGTGGGGCTAATCGTATGCTTTGCGACAGAAAAGGCCTGCTCGCTAGGCACACTAGTTGACTGCACAGATAGAATGTCCATTGCAAGGTGGGAGAGGATTGGGTATTCTGATGAATTTGCTTTCCACCACAGGAGCGGAGCTGCTTCAGTCTCAGGCTCGGCTAAGTACCTCGAAATTTCACATTGACTAGGGTTAACTTGACGGCAATTCGAAAGACTACGGAAGAGTTCACGCGTTGATTTAATAGTAGTAGTAGAAAGTGGTAATGGTGGTGATGGTTTATTTTCTTCAGCTGGCTTATAATTTTTATATATTTCATGGAGTTTATTAATGGCTTGTTCGCGTTCATTAATTTCATAGGTTGAAAGTTTATTACACGGATCAAGAAGGCCCGAAATTGTTGAGGACTCATTTAGATGGGCCCAATATGATGTAGCTTTTACTCTCATTGAATTGGCGACAGCATGTTGTGTATTAATTTCTGGAGTTCCATTATTATTTAAGTGTATAATAAGACCACGGAATATCATACGCAAGTCACCTTGGGTAGGAAGTGTTGAAGAAGACAGCATTATAGTCGCGCGGTATATAGGCTCAAGAAGAATTAACAGGTCCTGTAATTCTCATATAATTAAATCAAATTTATTTAAACAAACTTATTTAAGTAATAAAAATACTAACAAAAATAATATCCCATTCTTGTTCGTTTGGATAGTTTAGTTTTAAAGTTTGGTTGCTTGCCACAAGAATATCAGTCATAGGGCGAATCCGTTGGAGTTTTTCTAGCAAAAGATACATACTGTTCCAACGGGTTTCGACGTCAGCTTCAGGCATCAAAAATGGAACATTTTTCATTTCAAAAATTTTTTTTAATTCGCGAATTAACAATGGAGAATTTCGAAGCTTAATAGAGAACTCCCGTGCTTTAGAAATTTCTTTACTAACTAATTTGATTCCTTCTTCAACAATTATATTAAGAACATGTGCACCACAGCGAAAATGCTGTACATTATTATTATTAAACTCATAATCCATTTTTATTTTTAGAACACGTCCCATCGCGATCATGTTGGCAGCGTTGTCGGTTGTAATTCCCAAAAGTTTTTGACCGATATTCATTTCTTTTAATAATTCAATCATTGCATCGGCTTGGTTGGTTGCAGTGTGGGCTTCATTAAATGGGATAATGTCAAGCAGGATTCGACGTAGTTTCCACTCGGGATCCACCCAGTGCGCGGTCACACCAATGTATGGCTGTTGATTACACGACGTCCAACCATCCAATGTTATTGAGATTTTTGATTGAATTGTATTTAAAAAATTTTTTGTTATATTTTTATTTTTAATATATTCCCGACTAACCCAAGTTGAAAGTGTTTGGCGACACGGAAGTCTATAACGAGGGTCAAAAAATTATTAAATTCTATACTTTCGGCTAACAAAAATGATTGTTGGTCGACGACCAACCATTTTAAAAACTTTTTATTTAGATTGTCGACTTTATATTTGTCATTAGGACCGTAAGGGCTGATTTTTCGATGTCTACGTTGGCGGATTAAAGAAAATTCTGAAGGGTGAAAAGTTTCGAAATGCCGATTAATGGTTGATATTGCGGTCTGACTGCCAAATGGTTGTTTACATAATTGGCATATGTTACCTCCATCATCGGTTTCCCAAAGGAAATCTCTCACGGGTGCTCGGTTAGTTGCATATAAGGCTTTTTTTCGTAATTTTTTTGTGTTATTTTGAGATGAGGATGCGATTTCATCGCTTGTAGAAGTTTCCTCATTAAAGGGTTCCTTATCTATCAATTTGGATTCGACTTGGTCAGTTTCTGTAAGAAATTCAGATTCACTTGTTGACATTTTTTTATTATTTTTTTATTATTATTTTTTTTATTATTTTTTTTTTTTTGGGGGGGGGGGAGGCTTTTAAATAAAATTTAAAACATCTGGCTTTTATTGTATACTATCTTGTTACTACATTGAAGAAGATTACTACACATAGTATTCCAAATCGAAAATCGATTAATCAATC